GGGGGTGCAAACCCCCTTATTGGCTGAGGAGGCAAGAGGCATATGGCATGTGTTTATTCTCTCTGGCTGCTTCCTTTTCCCTTCTAGTTGTCTCCTAGGATTTGTTCTCATTTTCCAAACCTGAGCAAGTTCAAACAGCCAACTGCAGGAAACCAAATACATATTTCTATGGCATTCAAGTGAGCTGTCTGTGTAAAACTGTCTATTTCATAGCTCTTTGAATAATAAAGATGCTGTGGTTGAGAGTCTTTTCTCAGAGTCCCATAGGAGTTTGGAATTCATTCCCGACTCTGAAAGAGACCCAGACACAGCTTTGTAGTTGCAAGCACTATTTGAGCAATACTAACTTTTCTGAGTGCTTACTATGAACGTGTTAGTGTAAAACTGAATTAAAAGACGAGAACTGACATAGAAGCACTTTTTTTTACTAGTAATGGGTAGAGTTGAAAAAAAAATCTACCTTAAATGTAAAATATTTCTGTTGTTTCTTTAAGAGATGTGTCTCAGTTTAGGGGTTACTGTAATACCATGATTAACAAGATCGGCTTGGAGGAGGAACTCTTTACTTTTCCATTCTAGAAGCTTTTCAACAGTATCCCCACACTTGAATAAAAGAACAAGTGAAAAATGTACTCTGAGCAACTCCGTTAAACGTCAGGTATCAGACCCAAAGTAACTGACATGAGAGGCAAGGGTAAAGAACAGAAAAGGCTTTATTATGTTAGACAGAACATGTTGTTGCCACTGTACTGGGAAACTCACTGTAATCTCAGTTCAGGTAACATTCAGTAGAGAACAACTCCTGATATCTTGGGTCAGTCGCATCAGTGCCACACAGTGATGGCGTATTCTTGAACAGATTACAGAAGATTCAGATATGCAAAACAGTTTATATATAAAAAAAAAGTTTTGGTTCCTAAGATTGTGACTGGATATTTACTGCTTTGTACATGTCCCATCCCTTTCATTTCCTTTACATCCCAATAGCTAAATGAAAGAGAAATCTTAAAAACATATTTCTATGCTATTTGCTTTCTAGTAAGGCAGTGAAATCTTTCTTTTAAAATAAAGTACTGGGCATTTTTCAATGTGAGCTTCTGGCAAAGAGGACAAGCTGCTGTATCCAGAGGTTGGGAACAGCATCATCATTTTGCCACAGAAGTGGCCTTTCTAGTACGAGGGATCCAAAATTATGTTGTGACCTCTGTAATCCCCATTTTCTATTTTCTCTTGTCAGTCTTACTAGTTTACAGGAACAGGCCATCAGTAGTGTGATCAGAAGCAGCTCTATCTCAGTAATCATTTCACTCTGAGATTCTTTCTAGATGGAGCTGTCAGAGGTTTTTCTTTTAAGGCCCAGCTGAGCACTATGAGCAAGTGTATGCACAGATCCAAAATCAGTGACTGTTCTCCTCTACGATTGTTATTCTTGTGTGCAAATATATAGTGGCTTCCCAGGAAAAGCTGGAGTAGTTCACATTCAGAATAATTAGTACCATGTGCATTGTATAGTGTACTTGAGAACAGGTACCCCGGACTCTTAAGAGTACTGCAAAAGGTACAGAATCTCACAAGACCTGTTTCTGGTTTCTTTCTACATCAGTTGTGAGCTGGATTTTTTTTTTCTTCTTAGGAGCTGAATATAAGAGCATGGTCTCTGTTAACCAGAGGGAGGAAAAATACTCTCCATAGCTTGCTAGATTTTACAACTAAAAAAAAAGGTATACAATGTGGGTGTTTAAGTGCATATGTTAACTATTAGAATGGAGGAGCATAATTTTAAAAACCTAATTCTGTAACTGACATTTAATTTTAAAATATTTTCTCCTTATTCAACTCCAAGGCATTGTAAATATTGTGCTGAATTTAAGAGGCTACTTTATCTTCTGGCTTCTGATAATATTTGAAAAAAAATGAAGCCAAATATGGTTCTGGACAGGAGAGAGCCTTGTTTTGCAGAAAGTTTGCACTGTTTGTGTTCTGAGGGCTTGGGCAGATTGCCCACCCACACATCGTCGTCCATCGTAAGCGATCCTCCTCTGCTGCCCCAGACCACCCCAGGGTGAAACCGTGGTGTGCAGCTGCTGCCCACCCGATCCTGTGCCCCAGCGAGGCCTGCGTGGTGTGTGGCTGCACACAGAAAGGGTCATCTTACATGAGCTGTATTATCTGTTTAAAATAGGCTAGTTAACATAGTATGTAATTAATTGGTTGGCAGGCATATTACTGTTTTTTACACTAGACAAAAGTCGTTCTAGTGTAAGTTGACTTAACTGGAACAGTTTTGATGGGAAGCATAAGTCACTTATAACTTACAGAGCATCAGGGAGACTATCTGAATTTAAAACCCCACAAAGTGGACAACACCCAAGCTGATAACTCTTTAAGTTCATGGTTTGATATCCAGCCCCCCACGTTTGCATAGCTTTCCCTCTGGAGAGGGGGAGAATATCAACTGTCCTGTCCAGTACCTTTCTAGAATGGCCTACTTCTGGTACCCACCAGAAGCGTATCTGCACTGTCACGGACCAGTTTACTGACCTTGTCGACAGTACCAGCAATGTGCATTTGAGGGACCCCAGCTACTTCTTTTAACATGTTTTTTTAAGAGTTTGGGTGAGTGATTTGGGCCTTTTCTTGAGCTGGCTGGAGAAGAGCTGCTTTTCTGTTCAGTTGCCCCATTGAACAGATTAACCACTACAGCTGCTGTTTCTCAGATTCCTCCAAAACATTGATAGGATGTATAATGCAATAATGCTAGAAGAATATCTTAAGTCAGGATTATCTCTAGTGTGAAGCTTTTATGGCACAGAACATTTACATGTATAAAAACATGGGAGGCAGAAATAATCCCAGTGTGGATTTCTAAAGAAACAGTGCATAGGGAACTATATTTTATTACTAGAAGTAATACTTTAGTTCCTGTATTTCAACTCTTCAATTTCTCAGTGTTCTGAGGAGCAGACAGTAATCCTATAGAATGAGGGAAGTGGGGTTTGAGGATCTTTTTTAATTGGTATGTTCATAACATTGAGCTACGGCAGTATCATTTTTAAAAATCAAGTCATTACTTTGAATGATAAAAGTAGCCCAGGGTAGTTAATCCTTGGAGGAAAATATTTTCTTGTCTGTGCATAGAATGAAAACAAATGCAGGTAAAATACTCAGAAACCCCAAAATCAAATTAGGACTGTAATGGGTGCAAGCCAAAAGGCTGATCAAAGGGCTGAGTGTGAACTAAAGCTTCAGAGCTAAAAGAACTCCAAAGTTTTTTTTTATTGACATGACAACATCTCTGAAGAAAAATAAAGTTAATGAAATTTACATGATGAAAAACTTCCAAGCTTCCACAGATTTTTCATAAACAAAAAACATTCATGAATCAGTGAACCACAGCAAAAGTTAAGGCCCTACCAGTTTTGCAGACTGATTTAAACTTTGAGCAGGAAGGAAGGGAGGGAACTTTGATTCAAGTCAGATGGGCTAGGATGAACTGAGCTGTCAAATTCAATGTTCTGCTCACTTTGTAAGCTTAGGCATTTGTATTTGGGTGGGCATTTAAATAGATTGTGGTAGCTTTACATTAAGCCTTCAAAAGTTGGGCAGTAAATGAAGATAGGAAATAGAAAATCTAAATAATGCTGGATTTGTTACAAAATCAAGGGCATACTGAACAAATCCAAGAAGCATTTCTGACCATTTGAAAACCTGCAGATAAAACGGTATCCCAAATTCAAGGCGTGATTCTGAGCCTTTTAATGTTGCCTGGAAAAATTATCTCCATCAGTTGAGGTCAGGACTTATGTTCTAGCCAACGGCTGAATGGGTCTGCGATTTCCAAGCTCTCAAGTTAGATCTGAGGCTATCAGGATCTTCATCAGTGGTGGAGGTAGCAACAGCTGAAGGAACAGGCTGTGGCTTTTCCAGTGGAGTTTGAAGTTTTTGTTCCTGAAATGCTAAATTCCTTCATGGGCTCTTTCATCTCCACCACAGGTGCAAAAAAACCCCACAATGCTAATTCCAGCAATCCAGATCCTATTTCATATGCAGACATTAACCCAGAGGCAAGTAATAAAAATGCATACATCATCCCATTCAATTATTCAGCAGTTTCGCAGACATACCGGAAAAAACTAGCTTTCAATATAAAAATTGTCTATGAAACAGTCCAACTTGAGTTTTTCTGCGTGGATCATAATTCCACATGTGCTGCTGGATCTGTAGGAAGAGGAGAGAAAAATGAGCACTCCATTTCCAGCTGCCTCAGCTGGCAGATTGGTTTGAAAATTCATATACAGACCCTAAAGATCTGTTCTTTGCAAGGTTACCAGTGACTGAAGAACAATTCATACCCATTGTGTATAGCAGCACTTTAATTAAGGGTTAAGATAAGGCCAAGCTCATCATATTTCAGGAACAGTGAGGGTCTTTAACAGAACTGGAAAAAGTGTGCAATATAGCTGTTTAAATTTTAGTATCAGGTTAAGTCCCCCCAGCCTCTCTCAGCAAGGCCTTTCTGTCCCGTTAAAATATATAGATTATTTAACAGATCCTCCATGCAAGCCTTTGTGTGGTGCAAGCTGACACGAGTATGCAACTTAACCCCAGTCAAGACAGGCAGGAAGAAAGTCACAAAAGTAGGGAAATGGTCAGAAAGATTACCGCCCGTGTGCTGTACTGGCGTCTTCGCTTGTATCCCTGTTTCTTTTTCTTTCTGGAAAAGACCCTGGAGCAGTTTGATTTCTTGATCATAGTCCTGCCATTCTGGAACTATTCGCATCGCTGCTTGCAACTTGGGCTCTTTGGTCATTGGGTTATTACACTGCAAACGACACACACAAACTGTTCAGGCACTTAATGCGTAGAAAAGGTTTATTTACTGAATAGAGGTATGCTTCCCCCTGGTGGAATTAATCTGTTGTTGGTGAACACCGCATGCCTGGATTTTTGCCAGAGTGCAGTGTAAAGTCTCCTTCCAAATTCGTAATAATGCCACTGCTCCAGGTAAAAGAAATCCAGAAGCTAAAGGAAAAAACTGAAGTGCTGAAATCCTCTAGGTATCAATACAGGATGCAGTGCCTAGATCTGAGGTGGAGAGGCGCCGCTAAAACTGGGCACTGTATTTTATTGTGACATAAGAATGAGGGAGCCATGCTGCACTTACCAGATCAATGGTTTTTGCTCTCTTCTTTGAGGAGTCATCACACCATGTTTCACACCACAGCCACTCCTGGGGGAGGGATTTAATTGGCACCTGGTGGATCATGTTGTTAGGCAAATCCTGTTGTGAAGAAGGAGAATGAGTAGCAGTTTCTGCACGGTGCGAGGAACGAGCCCCCCAACCAGACGGTGTTGAGAAGTTTAACTTTTTTGTAAAAAGGTTTTTTTCCAGTGCAAATAAGAAGTCATGAATCAATCTTTCATTCCATTCCAAAGTCCTTTAAAAAAAAAAACACCTGCATACTACAACTGTTGATCTTATTTTGTTGAAAATGAGTTACTTCGCAAAAAGTATTGAAGCAGTACTATGACTCCAGTATCAAACCTGTACTGGACCAGTTTGGAAGACTAATCTTAATAGATTCCGCCACAGTATAAGCCATATTTCCATGTTTGTAAGTCAGTGCACAGTAAGGCACTCGGAGCTCAACAGCTCAAGAAACAAGTACCCAGTTGTGTATTTGTCTTGGAGCATACTGGAAAATTTGATAGTCTTAAGACATTTAAGGGGAAGGTGTTGTTTCCACCCACCAGTTATATTTGATGCTATCAATACCTGCCTCATTTGAAGGCAGGGCTTAATGGGACTGCCACTGGCATCTGGCTGTGATTGAAGTTTGGCCAGGAAAGGAGAGGTCCCAACCTGCCATCACACACCAGTAACACAAAACAAACCAAACACAATAAAAACACACCTGATCAAGGTTGGACAGACTGTTAGGATCCTGACTGAGACCCTGATATTGTCCTCTGAGTCGATCTCCAGCTGCTATCTTTCTGAACTTCTTCAGATCCACCACATACAGAGCGCTACATGGAGAAGATGCAATTAGTAATGACATTTGGCTGATGGGTAACTTACTGCAGCCCCAGCAGACCCTGAGATAGAATGTGCTGAAACAATCTTTTGGTGGCAGTACATCAAATCATCTAACAGAAAGCAGGAAAGCAGTTCGAACAAGGTCATGGCACGTACGAAAAGAAATTTTCAACAAATCTTAGCTTTGCTGTCATGCAGTCCCTTCCTCCAGCACTTGCTATTAACAAATGAAGATGGCTGGTTAGTTAACGCTTCAGTTCTTCATCTGTACAAGTTGTGGCACATGGAAAGTGACTTCCCTGTCCCTAGTGCTTCAAATGGACCACAGCAGTGGAAGCTTGAAGAGGCAACACTAAGCAAAAAGTAGTTCACTGCTGCGTTGTCTGCCTCAGCTAGTTGTCTGCTAATTCTGAGCAGCAGAAAAAGCTTTCCCCCTCTATTTTGAGAAAACTGAATTCTTCAGTACCTGATGTGGTATTTTCTTCCAGCTAAATGACTCGCCCAGTATCCCGATTTCCAGAACCTGTAGCCATCCATTTCTCTTCGACTGTCACAGAACGGGGTATATCCATAAGGAGCACCATCGAGATTGAAATCTCTTAATTCCTTGAGATCTGTACGCACAATCTGAAGGGAAAGGACATTTTATTTGTAGAAGCCTGCCATGGGTTATTTTGAAATGCTGGTCAGAATTTAATTCAAACTGAGCAAACAGTTAGAGGAAGCATTATCTGTTATATGCTGCAGTCTTTTGCATTATGTATTCATAGTACAAAAACACAGCACAAAAGGTGCTGTCTCCCCTGCCCTTAGAGCTGGAGCAACTAAAATAGAGCTTAAAATACTCTGATAGGGATTGGTTTGGCAGCCGAAGCGCCAAATTGTTGCTTAATAAGCAGCAAGCGTTCTCACTATAGGTGAACTCTGCTGTGATCCTTTGTATCCCTTCCTCTGGAAAGTCTGCAAACCCTTCAGGGATGAAGGCTTTTTAATGTCTTTTTGACACAGATGTGGCATTAATACTACTATAAAAAAACCACTCTGGTGGGGGGGGGGGAAGCATTAATATCTCTGTTAGAGCATGAACTGCCTAAAATGGGAACAGCATAGCAGCAAATTTATCCTGGGTGATACTTCAGCCTAAGTTGTAATGGTCTTAACTGACACGGGGTCATACTGTACACATGCCAAAACACCTAAGGTATTTCTTACGTGTTGATAATCTGTGCTTCTCAGTTTCATATATGTTTTTGAAGGAGTTCTTTTGGCAGTTCTCACTGCGCACGTATGCTGTGCTTTCGAACCGTTCAGGCAGTAAGCCCAAACGAAGCCTTACAGACACCGTTTGCTTTGCAGCGGGACATGGCTTCGTGCACAAGGGATCTGCCTTCTCACTCCTCTGAAAGCCACTCTGCTCTGGCCAAGTTAAAAGCAGGGGCGTGACAGGAAGGGGTGTTTGGTGACTTCGGAAAATACCGTATGTGGTAAGTGATCTGCAGACTGGGAGAACCGGTGGAACTGGAAAAATGGAGGGGTGAAACAAGAATCTTATCTGGTAAACTAGCTGGAATCACAGTGAGGGAACAAGGAACCAGAGAAAAGTAAAAGGCCAATAAAACCAATCTTTGTGGGAATGGGCAGAAAAAACAGCACTCACTGCAGCGTGCTGTAGTTACAGAATCAGCCTTCAGTCATGCCTGCAAAGGGCTCAGACTTGCAACCTTTCCAGTAACACAGAAATTGTATTCAAGTACATACTATTCTTAGAGAAAACAGAAAAAAAAAGGAGAAAAAAGGAAAAGATCAAGTAATTCCAACCTCTGTGTTACCTGGTCAGCATCCACAAACAGGATTTTATCAACAGCTAATGGGAAGAGCACATCTAGAAAGAGGATCTTGTAACCCCAGATGATACGCTGTTTCTCTGTTTGCTGATGAAGCCAGCGTGGCCATTTATACTGGACAAGCTCATACTGGAAATTATACTTCTCTGCCATGTATGGGATGAACTCCTGCAGAGGGAGGGGGAAAAAAGTAGCTTATCTCAGTTCTTTGTTCCTCTGCAGGAAAAAGAAAAGTGCATTACAAGAGATAAGACTTCAGTCCTGCAATAAAGCATAGAACATTAGAAAATGAAATGCCACAAAGAATAACTACAGTTTCATTGTTACTCCAGACAAAGACATAACCCCACACTGAACAACCAGTACAAACCGTAAAGCCGACTATCATAAGACAACTAAATATTTTGGCATTTTTCCCCACACAGTTACTCATGAGCCGTTTTATAGTGATCCACGGATCCATTTAAAAAAACGCATTACTCAAGTCATAAAATTCTACAGATGGGAGAATTATTATTTAGGGCTGTACAAAGCAGTGTAAATGGGAATAATAAAATGAGAGAGAAGAATTGGGAGAAATGCAGTACTAGAACAACTTGGCCCACTGTCGAATCAGTTGACGTTCCCATCCGTGGGGCTTCCCCTGACACAGGAGAGTGCAGGTTCGCCCAGGGGCTGCTGGCACGGCACGGCTGTTGACACACTCTGTCACACCACCCGAGCAGAGACTGACAATGGTGGAGTCACAGCACAGCCCAAGGCTGCAGCAGTGGAGACACTGCCAATTATCTCCCTTTGAGTTCATGCTGAACAGGCAAGATTCTCTAAGAAATGCTACTTCCTAATATTAAATGTTAGAATTTGCAAATTCCTGAAGGTTTTGAGATCCATTTACCTCTGGGTGCTGTTCTGAATCCTGCTGTTTGTTTTACAATGTATCACATGTAACTGATAGGTATTTCCAGGTATGCTCATCTAGGGCCCGCATCACTCTACCGTGCACCATCCATGAACTCTAGCCAGTCTGAAACATGGTTTTAATGTCTCCTCTTAAGAAGCTCTCTCCGTACCTAGTCATAGGCGTGGCTTCTCTGGTAGTTTTTTGCTATAATCTTTCAACCCTTATGTATCAGATGTACATTCACAGCCCTGAATTTCATCTTAAAATCTACATCTTTATTGCGCGAGTCACAAAAGCAAAGTTGAGATTCTTTCAAGTATGATTTTCCTAATATGTGCTGTTCTCTTAAATATCTACCTTCAGCATGTGTCCACTCTCAACCTGTCTCTTACTGCTCAAAGCTTTCTAGGCAGAACCACCAGCTTATACCAATCTGATGCTTTGTCAGAAGATATACAGACAGCTGTAACTATACATAGGTTTACACAATAGTATGATGCACAGCTTACAACTTCTTTTTTTTTAATAAAACTTCCCCCCCCAGTAGACTAAATTTCTAATTAGTAACAAACCTTGAATGTAGGCGATAAGTAGTTCTTCAGAAACCAAAACTTTAAAGGAGTCTTGGTATGTTTCAGCACAGACAACATCATTATGCTATCAAAAGAAAAAAAAAATAAAGCATTTACAGGAACAACAGCCACCCACTAGAGATCAGCTGCGTACCAGATTACAGATTGTTGTTTTACATTATTAGACAAACTGCAGTCATGTGTCAGGTAACTGATCTTCAGGCATGAAGAAAAAGTGGGTAGCTTCAGCCTGTTGCAAATTGCTCAATTTTATCTACAAAATTACCAAACCCAAAAATATCAATGTACTTTGAACTAGTCAGAGAATAGGCAACCTGTTGGCTTTCACAGCCCTTTGCGAACAGAAGTTCAGATTGTTTTCCAAAGCAACTATGACATTCTGTAACTTCTAAACAATACATTTATATTTGGTTATATTGTAGTGAGAAGATTCTAGGACAGCAACGTACCAGCTATTAAACTAAGTTTATTTTCAACGTATGAATGTTATGCAGACAAAAGTTCCTATAAGACAGTAGATGCAAAATCTAGAGGATATCTGAGCTGTTGAATTCTTACAGATATAGATATATACATATATATATATATTCTTGAAAATTCTAACATTTTTCCTTGTGGAAAGCAGGGCACCTCTACCATTTGAGACCCCCAGATTATAAATTCTGAACTAACCGTAGGAATCTTTCATATAGGTGTCCTGAAGCCACAGAGAATATATTTAGCACGTCATCTTTATCCTGTTTCACATCTTCATTCTTTTGTCCTCCTGTGAATCCCCTGAAAGGTCAAAGGTGTTTATATAATGGACAAGATAGTAAGGCCCAGCTTTATAGGAAAGAGAGCAC